CATATGGAACTGAACTAACCGCAGTGGGAAGACCCACCCTGAACGTGGAGCGCCTTTTCATGAGCAGGGACTAGACTGCATAAACACGAGAAAGTCAGCCAAGCGATGGCATGCAAGCATAAATGCAGTGCTCTGCTCGTGACTGTGGATATGGTATGACCAGTTGCTTCAAGTTCCTGCCACCTGGACTGTGAGCCAAACAGACCCTCACTATCTTTAGCCGCTTTTGTCAGAGTATTCCCTCCCCACAACAGGAAACGGAACTAAGACATTAGCCATCCAAAACACGTAAATAAAACTACCTGGAGATTCATCTCACTCCAGCCAGAGTGGCAATCATGAAGAAAACAAGTAACAACAAAGGCTGGAGAGGATGTGGATAAAAGGGAACTTTGGACACTGTTGCTGGGAATAAAATCTAGTCCTACAACTATGGAAGGTCCTCAGAAAACTAAAAACAGACCTATCATATGACCTGACCCAGATAGGCCTCTTCTCCGTGTTTAACCAGAAGAAACCAAGTCAACATCATAAATCCATCGATGTGTGCTGTGGCACCAGTCACAATAGCTGGGTTGTGGAATCACCTCGATGTCCAACGGCAAAGGACTGGGTAAAGAGAATGTGTGTATGCACACGACACACTTCTTTTCAGCCATAAAGAACAAAGTTATGTCATCTGCAGGAAAATAGAAAAAACGAGGGACAACCACATTAAGCAAATTAAGTCAGTCTCCAAAGACAAGTGCTGGGTTTTCTCTCACTTATGGGATTTTAGGTACATAAAATCGTCATATATGGACTGAGGTTGTAAAGAAGCAGCACACAGGCCTGGAGAACAAAGGGATGAATCAGTGGGGGAAGAAGGGCGGTTGGCACTGGGGGCTGGGCTCAAACAAACTTACAAGAACTTATGTAACCCTCTAGAATAATTTTTAAAGAGAAAGACTTCCTGATCTGTAACGTGTCTTTCTCCTGAGCCTGAAGGCACAATGGAACGAAGTTACAGATGTGGTAAGCCTGGGGAGAGGAGGCCTTCACAGCTCTCTAAGAACACGCAGGAGAGCTTTTAGGCGACTCCCTGCCTCTTCCCTGGCATGACGGGATTGGGCCTCTCAAAAGGTCGGGGTTTTTCAGGAGGTTTCTTTCCCGCTCCAGCCTCCATCACCTGGATGTGAGTGACTACCACTGCTATGGTCGGTCCCGTGCAGGGGCACCATCTGCCCACGCCTCCAGTGCCAGACAGAACAAAGTAACCGCGAGCTGTCCTCAGCCCACCCCGGGCTGGTGCGGCATTTACAGCTGTCTGGTTCCACTGGTTTCGGCTACCAGTTCTCACCCAGCCCATGCACTGTGCTCGCTGTCCACTTCAACCCCCGTAGGAAAGGCCTTTCCAGGTCTTTTCTGCACCTGCCCTCGGCCAAGGCCCTGACGGCATCTTGGAGTTCCTGCCAGTGTTTGTAATGTTGGCCACTGGGGAAGGTACATTTTCCTGCTGACCACCGGTCCCTCCTGATTCACCAGTAAAAATAACCAGCACTTACTGAATGTGCATGTCTACGCTACACCAAAGCTCACCATTCTGTCAGGAATAATTACCTCCACCCAAGGGGAACAGGCTGCTGGAGCAGATTCAATGGTTTATTCCAGACTACTAACATCCAAAACAGTGACTAAAGTCTTTGAGTCATTCTGACTCCAAATCCCCCCTCCAGGTCCACCATGAGCTCGCCCATTGCATTAATCATGACTGCTGCATAACCCAAACTAGATCCAATCCCATCCACTAAAACTTGTCACAGTAGGTTTATTTAACTGAAGGTAAACCCTGACTCTGAAGACCGGGTACCATAGAATTCTCTTTGCATCCTGGAACTGTATTTAACTTCCAGCCTGTCTCACATCTCCAGACTCTGTCTCCTTCAATCTGCCAAAAGGATAAATGATGCTTTGTTTCCATCAAGATGGTAGACTAGATGCCCTGAAGGACGTCACTGCTTAGATGAACTAAAATGCTACGTTTGATACATAAGTAAAAACCTTTGAAAGTAACTGTAGACATGACTGAGAGGAAAAGAAAACAGAGTTACAGGAGGGATCCCAGGAGACCAGCAAGTGCCGAAGCTGACCTGCACCCTGAAGATTTCTGATGAAGTACAAAGCCCTTGGGCTCCCATCTTGATGGTTACATGGGGGAAGTGGGCAGATAGACAACAGGCTCTGTCCGAGATGTGGGCCTTAAAGAAAACTCCTGTATAAAGGTGGGGCACTGGTAGGCAGCACGCTCAGTTTGGGGGTGAATGAAAGAGAAGCAAGCCTTACACATAGCACAGAAAAGCCATCCTTACTATCAGCAAGAGGGGGGAAAAGTCTTCCTTGAGAATTCTTTAAATTTTCCCTTTCAGAATTCTCCTGGCCTTCTCTAGGCTTGGAGACAGATTCTGAGAAGTCAGATGATGTAATTCAAAAGGGTCCTCATACGTCTTGACAGAATCATGCAGTGTCAACACAGGTTCAAATGATCCCCAGTTTCTAAGAAGAACAAGCAGCACGGAGGCCAAGAGTGAGACAAGTGCTAGCCCTGCCCAGGCTGTCCTCCATGGGGAGGGGGGAAATGATCCCCAGTTTCTAAGAAGAACAAGCAGCACGGAGGCCAAGAGTGAGGCCCAGGCTGTCCTCCATGGGGAGGGGGCGCTGCAAGCTCGGCACGCACTTCCCACAAGTACCATCTGAGAACTCAGCTCACTGGCATCATCAAGCATGCGCCCCCCTTCCGCTCTCCTTATTTCTTCTTGAAAAAAATAAGGCCCATGGCCCAAATCCAGTGTACCATTTACTTTTGTACAGTCTGTGAGCTAATGATGGTTTTCACACTTATCAATGGCTGTATTTTAAATTGTACTGATCATATTTTAATAACCAAACATATACAGGAGTATCCTAAATTTTGCTTCTTGACCTGCAAAGCCCAAAATTGACTATCTGGAGATTATATTCCCAGATCCTATTCTAGACCATCACAGATTCCAAATAATGTAATGAAAATGTATGTGCACCATTCTAGAATTGCAGTTCTATCCAGTTTGGAAGGAACAGACTTATAAATCTGCCAAAGAGCCAGGGGAGTGGGTTTAGAAGGTGAATGAAGCCATTTTTGGCTTGCAATTTTCCCACAATTAACTATCTCCTACTTCACAAATGTCCATGTTACATAATAATATTTGGGGGGTAGAGCTCACCATCACGCCTAGACAATAGTTCAAAACAGAAAAATGACATTGTTCTCGATGGGAGAGGGAAGAACAACCTGGAAGCCAAGGATGGAGGCCCGCCATCACCTGAGGCTTGTAGCATGTTTCTGGTTCCAAAACTTCTGCAGCATGTTAAAATATAATTGCCAGTATTGAGATCAAGCTGCTCAGACAATGAAATAAAAGTCTCTGCACAGCACAAGCTCGGATGGAGAAGAGTTGCCTGGTCCACGTTCCCCGCACGCACGCTCTCAAGTGAAAAGTTAGTGCTTTTCGGATGGAGCCTCAGTCTCCACCGTTCTCTTTACAAAAGAATTCCGTCTCTCCTCTCCAGACAAAGGAAGACTTGGCCTGGAAGGCAGGGAGATGGCTGAGTGGGTAAAGCACTTGAGCAAACGTGAGGACCTGAGTTCATATCCCCAGCATCCAGGTAAAAACGCCAGGTATGGTGGCCTCTTATAATCTCAGCACCGAGGAGATGGAATCAGGAACATGTCTGTGTCTCATCAACCATTCAACATGCCAATTAGAGTTCAAGGGTTCATGAAAGACCCTGTCTCAAAAACTAAGTGGGAAAGTGCCTGAGTTAGATACTCAGTGTTGACCTCTGGCCTCCATGTGTATGCATGGGCACATGCACACAGCCCCACCACACGCATACACAACACACACACATACACACACACACACACATACACACACACACATACACACACATACACACACACACACACACACACACACACACACAGGATGGCTTGGCCAAAAACCTAGCCTGAGATAGAAACGTTGTCAGGCAGGACACAATCTAGGGACCCAAAGTTCAGCTTTGGCTCCGTAGCTTCCTGTTTTTTGGCATATGCCATGGCTAGAGCTGGCAGGAGTCAGTCACGGGTGGCTTAGGGTTAGTGTCACATTCACTTAACCTTCTTCCCTTTGCGGAATACAGTGTCTCTTGGGCCCAGCCTAACTCTTCTTTGCCTAGGCCAACATCCGTGTCCACAACTGATCAGGATCATGACAACATTTCCTCTCCACACGGCTGGTGGCTTCTCATTGTGAAGTCGCAGTGACGAGCACATGTGAAAGCTCCTAACAGTTTCCGTCTGGGGCTCACCTGCTCAACGTGAACATTTTGGGGGTAGAAATCATGTTTTTCTCATGTCTGCCTCTTTCTGTCTATCACAGCCCCAGGAACATGCCAGGGACCTTGCACAGTGTTTGCTGTACGAAGAGGACAAGGTGCTGCTGAGAAAACCAGAGTGTGGAGGGCAAACCCTGCTCCGTCCTCTCAGGACTGATCCGAAAACGAGTCCCACGTTGGAAACTTGATGTGTGCCTTCCTGTGACAGGAATCTGCTCGTGACAACAGCTTCTTTGCCCTCCTGATCATTGGCAATTATTCTTACATCCAAAATGCATTAGCTCATAAGCAGCAGTGACTCGACCCATAAATCATCCCTCAGTGTTTCTGCTTTAATAGCCGGTGGGCAAATTCCTTCTCCTCTCCATGATATACACTGCCTCCTGCTCCCAAGCACTTCTCAAGAAAAAACATTTTGACTCAGCCTAATAGTATCAAAGACCATCATTGGTTATGCCTATAGAGGTTGTCAAATTCCAGGCCAAAACAAAACTTTTCTGAAGTAGCAGCTCACAGAAGCCAAGGCTAAAGAGCTTCCACCACAACACTCTAAACACCGGAGAGCACAGAGAGAAACGAGAATCAGGAGGAATTTAGATACCTACTTTTGCAGTCATCTTGGCCAAAAGCTCCTGTAAATCCATTATCCCTTGAACCAGACTCAAGAAATCGCTGCACGTCGGGCAAGCTCAATAAAGAAAATATAAGATAAACGGTGATTTCTATGCTCACATAAGGAATTTAAAACAATAGTTGTTCAATTTTAAAAGTGTTTTTTTCTTTCAGTGGTTAATTTTTGAGGGAAATGACAGATTTCTGACATTTTTCCCCATTTTTCTTAATAAGGAAAAAGAAATCCCCCAGAGGTGCTATTTACGGAAGGGAAAGGTAACACAACATTTTGAAAGAAGACGTTGCCGAAAGGTGGCTGGAAAAGATGTAAAGTACTGAAAAAAAAGTCAATTCACATCCAGATCAAGAAGTTTAAATCGTTTTGTTTTATGTGTGTGTGTATTATACATATACAAATACATATATCTACATTAAATATAAACTTGTATACTTAAATATATCTTTTTGTTCTAACATACAAAACCCATCATGCAATTCTTTCTTACCTTCAAAGTTCAATTTTGTAAATAACACACAATCTTTTTAAAACTTGAAAGATGGGGCTGGAGACATGGCTCAGGGGTTAAGAGCACTGGCTGCTCTTGCAGAGGACCCAGGTTCAACTCCCGGCACCCACATGGCGGCTAACGAACATCCATAACTCCAGTTCCAGGAGATCTGACGCCCTCTTCTGACCACCACAGGCGCATTGCATGACATGGGTGCACTTATATACATGCAGGTAATACATCCATACACATAAAATACAAATAATAAGTAAAATATTTTTAAAATAAAACTTGAAAGACACAAGAGAATCTGTCACAGATAATCCTTTTACTACTTTTACCTCTGAAGTCATGTGAATCTTTCTAGATGTGTTTGTCTGATATGATGAATGAGTCCTATCATACTTAAATTCAGAAGTGTTCAAGGGCTACTTACTGCGATTTAGGTTGGGACACTGTGAGATGAACCCATTGGGCATGAAGATGATTTTGCCGTCTTGGATAATCCCCTGGCAAAGAAGAGGTGAGTAGTTATCAAGATTGCATCACCAGGTCAAGTGCCCCACGCAGCCCCACAGCCATCCACGTCAGAGTCCGTTTAGCAAGTCTGGTTCACTCAGGTGAGTTGATGTGGTGGTTTGGTTGGGAGACAACCCCATATAGGCCCACAGATTTGCACACTTTTGTACAAATTTGTCCCCAGTTGGTGGCAGTTTGGGGAGGTCTGGGAGGTGTGGCCTTGCTGGAAGAAGCATGTGACTAGGGTGGGCTTCGAGTCCACAGCTTTGCCCATTTCAGTTGCTTGCTGTTTCCTGGGTGCACTAACCATGTGAGCTCTCAGTTTTCCACTCCAGCTGCCTCCTGTCAGCATGTCTTCCCCACCGTGACAGACTCCCTCTGGAGCCACAAGCCCAGACAAACCTTCTAACAGCTGCCTTGGGCCCTGGATTTTCATCACAAGGACAAACTAACTTGGTCTGCCCTTGTCACTGCTCCAAATCACTCTTCTAGAAACTGAGTTTCTAGAAAGAAAACCACAGCCAGCTCTCACCAGTCACCACCAGTGAGACAACTCCAGCAAGCATGGATTAGTAAGTGCTCCTGTGCACAAATTATCAAAAACCTTGACAGTCATTGGTAGAACTCAAACTGTCTTCAATGTCCCGGTTGTCCTGGAGCATTAAGTAATGCTGATCTATAAGACTTGTTTTTTTTTAATTAGAACAAAAGGATAATAAAGATTTTTGTTTGATGCATATGTAGGTAATGGAAGTGTGTGCATGCTTGTTTGCAAGTATATGGGCATACAAAGACGTGTGTGTACATGTGTGCATATGCCTATGAAGGCCCTAGGTTGATGATGGCTGTCCTCTTAATCCCTCTCCTTTTGTGTTGAGGCAGGATTCTCTCACTTGATCCCAGAGCTCTCTAGTGAGCCAACTTGCTCCATAGATTCCCCTATCTCCTCCTCCCACGTGCTGAGATTATAGGTGGGTTTCCACATACACCCAGAATTTACCAAGTGCCAGGGACCGGAACCCTGGTCCTCAAGCTTGGATAGCACATACTTTAGTCAGGCAGTCATCTCCCCAAGCCCGATAAAGAGTGCTATTGGTTCATTTACTTAAGGACATAAAATTAAACATCAAGAAAATAATGACCAATTTTCATTCCTTGACTCACTGAGCAGCAGTGTCTTTCCTGGTGACTGAAAACCTGGTAAACTTCTGTGAGAAAATGAGGGTGAGGTTCTAGCACTACAGGTCTGGAAGAACACCCCAAATTTAAGAAAGTCTTCAGGGACTGTTCTCTCAATGAAAATATTGACTTGGTTTTTGGATTTTTCAAGTTAAATTTAAGATTCTGTTTTTAGGGGCTTTTTTCACATTTGATGGAAGAGATATTACAGAACAGATGGAAGATGGGAAAGCTGGTTCAGAATACTGAGCTCCATCTATAAATAAAATATCAGCAAGAAAGTCATGCCAGTCTTCTGAGGGAGAAGCATTTAACATTTATGTGTTCACCTTCTAAACACATGCGGCTCTTTGCTTATTATTTCACCATAAAATTTAATTGACGATATTAATAGGAAAAATGGGATCAGGGCATCTCCGCAGCAGAACTGTATACATTAACCGCATCCGAGGATGAAGGTGTGTTTCTGATCCTGAGAGGAGACGGCCTCCCTACAAGAACCTGCCACTGTGCCACACTATTAATTCAGAGTCTCCTCCAGCAATTAGAGGGAAGCCTGAGTCAGCTGCTTTAACTATGAGGATGCTTTGTCTTTCATAGCCAATCAAGTGCTTCAAGAGGCAGGGAAACTTTGAAACACATTAGAACTTAGGAAAATCCGTGCTTAGAAGTCAGGGAAGCCAAGTTCTGGATCTGACTGAGGCTTGCTGTGTGGACTCGGGCATGAAGGGGAAGAACCAAGTTTGCTGCATCAGTTACTTCATCTGGAGAGGGAGGTGCTGGATCAAAAAGCAAAGAGCCTCCAGCACAAGGTTGGCTCAGTTTAACAGACATCGAACAGATACTGTCAGCTAGGAGGCCTCTGTGCTCTCCTCACTTTTCAATTACATATGTATAAAATGAGACAGTGATACCAAGGAATGAATATAGTGTGTGTGTGTGTGTGTGTGTGTGTGTGTGTGTGTGTGTGTAAAAACATATGCTTGTCTAGACAAAACTGCAAATTTCCATTAAGGAATAGACCATCATAGAAAACTGAATACCACACTAAAAATCATCTGTCTGTATAAACCCTGAATGGGGGCTGTGTGGGAGAAGAAGGGGTGAGAAACTAGGGAGGACAATGGGGCAGGGATGAAAAACAATTATACATCTGTAATGTGGAAGGGTGTGTGTGTGTGTGTGTGTGTGTGTGTCAGAGAGAGACAGACAGAGAGGAGCTACTATGTGGGGAAGAAGGAACACAGGAGAAGGGATGTGCTACACAGCTTTAGTTGTCAACTTCACACACCTTAGTAGAGGGACCCTCAACTGGGGAATCGCCTCCATGGGACTGGCCTGTGCCCATGTCTGTGGGGCATTTTCTTGATTGTTGAGTGATGTGGGAGGGCCCAGCCCACTGTGGGTGGTGCCACCCCTGGGCAGGTGGGCCTGGGGTATATAAGAAAACAGGCTGAGCAGGGGCCAGGAGAGCAAGCCAGTAAGCAGCGTTCCTCCATGGTCTGTGCTCCAGGTTCCTGCCCTGAGTTCCCACCCTGGCTTCCCTTAACAATGAACTGTGCTGTAAGTCAAATAAACCATTTCCTCTCCAAGCTGGTTATGGTCAGTGTTTTCATCACAGCAATAGAAAGCTAACCAGAACAGAGGACTAGGTATGAGAAGGGAGGAAGATGGGGGTGGACATGAGCAGAACAGCGACACATATGATGTAATTGATGCCTCTACAATGCAGCCCTTATATCTAAGACTCGGGCATCATAGCAGAAAAGGGCAGAAAGATTTCACAGCCAGACAACCAGGATGCCATCAGTGAAGCAGTATTTTCTAGACAAGAAGACCTGCATAAGGACCACAGCAGTCAACATGCCAAGGTGGAAAGGGACTTCCACAAGACCTTCGAGATGAAGACCTGCAGGCAGTCAGTGGCTGCTGAGAGATGGGACATCAGTTTTCTCCAGGGATGAACCCCCTGATGGGTCATCTAACCCCAAGTGATCATCTCTACACACATGCACGTAAGAGCACCACTAAATGGACTTGGTTTGTTCTGTGTGTATATATCTGCATATGTGTATGTATGTAACAATAATTATAGAAGAAGAGGAGATGAATTCCAGAGGGAGTGGGGGGGGGTAACAAAGAAGGATTTATATGGGGGAGAGGGAGGGATAGAAATAACATGAATACAATACTCATAAAAATTCACAAAAAATTAAAACTTTAAATAAAAAAGAAGCCATTATTTTTTACGTTTCCTAAAAGTTATAAAAATAATAGTATAAATATAAAATATAATTTAAGGCATAATGCAAAAGCATAATATATTTTAATTTTTCAAAAGAAAACACCTGTCTAATCTGGTAGATTATGGATAAATTTAGAATCCCCAGATAGGCTGGTTTTCCCAGGACCTAAGAGGTTTCCGGTAATGAGGGTTTTACGGCCAAGACCAAGAGACACCCAGGCAAAGCAGGAGCTCTGATCAACCCTGGGGATGCAGAAGTGGCCAGCAGAGGACCACACCCAGTCGCTCCCACCAGAAGATGCTCGGAAATCCGCTTCATAACAATGGCTTTGAGAAGACACTCCAGCCGCTCACCGGAGAGCGTTCCTGTCCTTCTTCTAGGTGACCCTGCTCATTTTAGGTAAAAGATGGATTTCACATCACTTCTTCCTACCTTTCCTTTCCTGTCGCCACTTTTGCTCTCTGGCACAGGATGTGTGTGTGTGACACAGATCACTAGGTGAAGGTCAATGATGTTGACTAGAACAAAAACCAAAATAAGAGCTGACAGCTTCCCAGTGCTCAATAACACAAAAACCCAAGCACTCATAATTTTTCACAGAAAAGTCAGGGGGATCAGTCCACACACGAGCTTGAGAATGAGCTCTTGCCACGTGAATGAAGACGGGAATGTGAACTTGAGGAAGAGTACGAACAAATCAATCCTGGATTGAAAGATTGGAATACCACAGCAGCATCAACTACGAGTCAGAAGACTGTGGAAATGTGAGTATGACCCACAGAAATCTGGGTGTAGATGTATGTTTAACCAATAGAAGTCTTATATAAATGTGTATGTAACCAAGACAAGTCTGGTGTAGATGTCTGGGTAGCTGACAGAAGTCTGGTATAAATGTTTGTGTAACCAACAGAAGTCTGGTGTGAACATGCATGCCTGGGACCCCAGGTGAGCTAATCTCCCTCCCCAGAACAAGGACCAGACAGTCTTGAGTTGAGTCCCATACGGATCATGCCGCTGCTGGATGTTGGTGACAGAAACAGCAATTGTTGTGCTACCAGAAAGTAAATAAAATATGAAAGCCAGCTACAAAATAGCTCCCTCAGCCGTATCTCCCCTCTGCACAAAAAATCATCTATGAGGATTTCTCCAGAGGATAACCTGCCTTCAGGCACTGCAACTTCTCCCAAAGGAGTTAAGAATAAAAGCCAGAATTTCTATTGTTCCTCCTCATACAACCTTAAATGCACCCATACTCGTTTGAGAGTGCAGCCCAGGAGGCCTGTAAGCTGAGCCTATGTGAGCAGTGCTGGGCCTGCGTGAGCAGTGCTGGGCCTGTGTTAACTGGGCCTGTGTGAGCTGTGCTGGGCCTGTGTTAACTGGGCCTGTGTGAGCTGGGCCTGTGTGAGCTGTGCTGGGCCTGTGTTAACTGGGCTTGTGTGAGCTGGGACTATGTGAGCTGTGCTGGACCTGTGTGAGCTGTGCTGGGCCTGTGTGAGTTGTGCTGGGCCTGGGTTAACCGGCCCTGTGTCAGATGCTCTGGGCCTCAGGTATGAACTGGCTTCCTG